GGTAATGTTTACCATTAAGTTTAAAATATGAGGTATGAACCAACGTAGAAAAGTGTCTAAGATTTTTCTTTTTTTAAAAGATGGGGTCTCACTCTCACCCAGGTTGGAGTGCACTGGTGTGATCTCGGCTCAATGTAACGTCTAACTTCCATGCTTAAAAAATCCTTCCACCTCAGCGTCCTGAGTAGCTGGGTCCACAGGTGTGTGCCACCATGCCTGCCTAATTTTTTGTATTTCTGGTACAGACAAAGTTTTCACTATGTTGCCCAGGCTGGTCTCGAACTCCTGAGCTCAGGCCAATCCACCTGCCTTGGCCTCCCAAAGTGTTGGGGTTACAGGTGTTAGCTACAATGCTTGGTCAAGATATAACTAACTGGAAAAAAGCGTTGCAGAAGAGTAAGTATAGGATATATATGAGTACATACATGAAGCCAGGAACAAATGTGGCTGCAGATGTTTTAGAGACTATATACCACCATATATGTATAAAACAAACTGGGAAGAGACATACACTCATATAAACCAAATTGTGGGTTGGGTGGGTTACTAGAGACGTTCTACTGCCTGTTTGCTATACCAAAAAACAACGTAAAAAACTGAATTTAAGACAAAGAATTGAGCAGCTAAGTGGTCACGTACCTTCTCAGGAAAAGTCAGAATTTTGGCCACATGGACTGGCACAGCTACCTCATCAATCCGGAGGTTGGGGTCGGGCGAGATGACTGTTCTGCCAGAAAAATCCACTCTCTTTCCGGAGAGATTCCCTCTAAATCGACCTAAATAGCCAAAAACATGTCATAGGTCCCCGTGGCATACCATGTGCTGATGGGAATCATAAGAACAGAGAGCGGGCTGGCTTCTACACGTCTTGTTGGAAACCTACCCTGTTTTCCCTTCAGGCGCTGGACAAAACCTCTGGTCCACTTCTTGGGCGCCATGTTGAGGGGGATGCCCGACAGCTCACTGTTAATGTAGAGGGCGCACTGCAGCTGCAGAAAGTCCCAGTCCTCCATGATCATCTGTGTCTTTGCTCCTGAGATCCGATGCTGAAACCAGCACAGCCCCAACAGAAACAAACCTGTTCAGCTTGATTTTTCTCACATTTTCTTGACCAGAAGTTTTTGGATAGATATACTATAAAACTTACAAGCTAATGGGAAGGCACTGACCTTTTTAATAACATCATTGAGGAAAATGATTTCTGTCAATTTCATTGTCAGATCATCTTCATTGGTGCCAGACTTCAAATCACTCACAACGGAGGGTCTGATACACAAAGGAGGCACCAAAAGTCGCGTGAGAATCAAATCGGACGGCTTTCCAGCTTCTGGGTTCATCAGAAGGAGGGGAACATCTTCAGCTGGGATTCGTTTAAATAAATTCAGAACTACTAAGGGATTCAAGTTCTCCTGTGGAAAGGATGAAAGGCAGAAATGAAGATACTATGCTAGTTTTCCATAGCTTGGGCCAGGTTTTCCTTCACCATGTTCTTTCACCTATCTGTTACTTCGGATAAGTGACAACAGAGATTTCTGAGGATGACATGCTATGCTGCAAGAGCCTTAAAAATGTTTATGTCTTTTATTCCAAGCCAAAAATTCCACTTCTCATAATTATCCCAAGGGGTGTAACTTCAGAAATGAACACAAAGATTTAGCTACAAGAATGTTCACAAAAGCTGGGTTTTTTTTTTTTTTTTTTTGTAAGCAGGTAATGAAAGCTGTTCTTAATAGTGAAAAGTTGGAAATAGCCTGACAGGTTACTAGCTAAATAAAATCATGGTATATCTCTATGTGGAAAAGCAGGAAGTCATGTGAAAAAAAAAAAAAGATACTATATAAACGTAGCAATTGACATCAAAAATGTCTATAAAATATTGGTAGCTGGAATAAGCACGTATATGACTAGTCTCACATCAGGGGAAAATGTACATCTTTGTACAGAGAAAAGGAAATGGAAGCATTCACTGCGGTGTTAATAGAGCTGTCTTTAGGCAAGCTGAATCACATCTTTCTGATTCTTTTTTATATTTAAATTTTCTTTATGGACTTATATTAGCTTTGTATTGACATTATTTAATAAAACTGCAATGCTGTAAACAACTTACCTGCAATATAAGTAATATGCAAATTATTAGAGAGAGCCAAAGATCAAAGGTAACAATGGTCACCTTGTCTTGTTGCTTACTTATGAAATTTCCTGCGGATCTACAATTGTGTGACTCAGAGTGTATGTTATAAGTACAATTTACTAAGTATAACTTAATGAGATGGGGAACAAAGTTAGAAATAAATGTTTGAACAGCTACTGCCTTTACGACACTGCAGCCAGAGAAAGTTATTGTTGTCCTGCTTTGGAGGACATCATAGTGTAATTGGAAAGGAGACGCAAGAAACTGCACCAGAGAGGTCTTCTATCCAGGTCCTTGCCTGGAGCAGAATTCCCTTCCTCAGCTTTCCTGTCTTCCAGCAATGGGCACCTCACTACCACCTGAAATTGTGTTAACAGAAACGTAGGTATGGGACAAAGGCCAGAACTTACCTGGAGTACCACCACAGTCAGTATAGGCTGAGTATCCTCGATCTGAAATGCTTGGGACCAGAAGTATTTTGGATTCTTTTGGATATTGAAATATTTGCATTATACTTGCCAGCTGAGCATTCCTAATCTGAAGACCTGAGATCCAAAGTGCTCCATTGAGCACTTTCTTTGAGTGTCATGTTAGTGCTCTGAGTTTAGGATTTTGGATCTCGGATTTTCAGATTAGGATAAGAGGCTGTCAAGAGTGACATAACTGCCTCCTAAGAGGGTCATGGAAGAAGCTGCCAACTTATTCTGCTATGCACTGGGAAACCGAGCAGGGACTGATGGAGACAGCACAGGAAAGGCTCGGTTTTGCACAAGGAAGACCATCTTATCGACTAGAGCTCTCTGTGATGCAGTGGGCTGCCTCAGGTGGTGCTGAGAGAACATCAGCCTGCCACTCAGTGTGCTAGGGACATTGCGGAAAGCATTTCCACCTGGACTGATGACCTCTATGGAGAGACTCATCTGCAGGGTCCACAAACCCTGGACTTGTGTTGACATAGATCTGGGTATGTGTACATACTATAGTTTCTGTCCAATCCCTGAAGTGGGGGCACGGGGGATGTCTGTGACCCAGAAAAGGTCAAGAACCACTGCTCTAGGGTCTCTTCCAACTCAGTCATGCTGCGCTGCCTGTATGCCACAGGTTCCATATTCCCGAAAATTAAACAGGTGGGGAGTGCATCAGAACATGGACAATCCTGAGATTAGTGAGCAGGGGGCCATGGGCCCACTTGTATGCAAGCCCTCTTCATAAAGGGTGAACATACTCAATGATGCAGTATCCCTTAGATGCAAAAGGGGCCCTCTCTGAGGAGGGCTGCGTGGAATTAGACAAACGGTGAATCCATGTGTTGCCCTCTTCCACATTCCCCAGGTAGTAGAAGACCCAGGACGACTTAATGACTATGGAGGACCTGCCACTGCTCCACGTGTCATGACAGGCATCAAACAAAAATGCACCTTGTCAAAGAACAGTTATAACACCGAAGGGTAGGATCAGAGGTGGTTCAGATAGCAGAGGCGGCTTCGTGAGAGCAGCTAAGGGACTGGAGGGCGGCTGGGTTGGAAGAGGGAGGGAGGCTTCGCCAGGCTGAAGGAACACTGGGAGTACAAGCGTGCAGGCAGAGAGGTGGGATGAACCCTCAGCTACATTCGTTATGATCATGACTGTGACAGGAGTGGTGGTGGCAGTGATAAATACTACTGCAACTGGGTAACAAGCTCCAAGCACTTGCTATGTGCCGGGCCATGCATTAAACACCTGATCTGAAACTCATCTCTCAATCCTCCCAGCAGCTCTAAAGCAGACACTCTTGCAATCCCATGCTACAGATGAAGAAACTGGAGGCCAGGTTAGGTCACACGCCCCATGTCACAGAACTGGTAAGCAGCAGGGCTGGCTCTAATCTCATGTCTATCTGACCCCAAGGCCAAGGCTCTTGACTACCACCTGAATTCTCTAGGGTGTCAACTCTGGTAAAGTGGGGTGCGGTGGACAGGGAGCTGGTGGCAGTGGGGGAATGCCCGGAGGTCCAAGTTGGAGGCACTAGACAGGTGATTCTTCATCAGGAGGTGGGTCCCTCCCGGGCCAAATCACTTAGGAGACATTTTCAAACGAAACGCCTCCCAGGACCTGCAGGACAATCACTGTTACTGCTGAGAGCTTGCGGAGGCAGAGAAGTGGTCCTCGCAAGCAACGGGACTGTCTGTAGGTCCCTGGGGAGGAGAATTTATGTGGTAGTGGTATGTTAGGGAGGCTGGTCTCGGAGCAGAGCAGTGAGTGAGGAGGAGATGCAGGTGAGGCCACAGCCAGGAGGCACATTACACCTCAGGCTCGCTCGACAGGCTGCCACCAGCTCAGAGAGCTCCTCACTTCCATGGCAGTACAAAGACAAACATACCTTCTCCTTAAATTCCTCTGTGATTGCTTAACTCTAACTGCCTTGGAGAGATCTCCACTTGAATCAATTGCTGATGCTCGCCCTCCCTGTTTCCAGGAGCACTGCCCCTTCTCCACATGTCCACATATGCGCACTCACTCACCTCTGATCCCTCCCCTCTAACACCCATCTCCACTGCGGCTGGTCTATTCCCATCCATTCTTACTGCATACAGTTTTCTTGTACTTTATTATCCACGTGAGGAATAGTTTATGCCCTGTATAGCTATGATTTTAAAATCTTTTACCATGAAAATGTAACATGTTACCCACACAATTAAAAATGTATACTGGCTGGGCGTGGTGGCTCTCATGTCTATAATTACTACCTGGGTGTGGTGGCTTTTATGTCTATAATTCCAGCACTTTGGAAGGCTGAGGCGGGTGGGTCACCTGAGGTCAGCAGTTTGAGACCAGCCTGGCCAACATGGTGAAACTCCATCTCTACTAAAAATACAAAAATTAGCCGGGCATGGTAGCAGGCACCTGTAACTCCAGTTACTCGGGAGGCTGAGGCAAGAGAATTGCTTGAACCCAGGAGGTGGAGGTTGGAGGTTGCCAAGATTGTGCAGCTGCACTCCAGCCTGGGCAACAGAGTGAGATTCTCAAAAAAAAAAAAAAAAAAAAGTGTTACTGTTAAAAATGATGAAGGCCAGGGAGCAGTGGCTGACACCTGTAATCCCAGTACTTTGGGAGGCTGAGGCAAGAGGATTGCTTGAACCCAGGAGTTCGTAGCCTGGGCAACACAGCAAGGCCTTGTCTCTACAACAAATTAAAAAATTAGCTGGGCATGCGCCTGTAGTCCCAACTACTTGGGAGGCTGATGTGGGAGGATCACTTGAGCCTGGGAGGGTGGGGCTGCAATGAGCCACGATCACACCACCGCACTCCAGCCTAGGTGACAGAGCAAGACCTCACCTCAAAAATTAAAATAATATATAAACAAATATATAAAATAATATTCAAAAAAAGCACTAAGATAAAAACACAAACAAAGGGACAGAGTTGGTGGCACACACCTATAATCCTAGCACTTTGGAAGGCTGAGGTGAGAGGATCACTTGGGCTCAGGAGTTCAAGACCAGCCTGGGCAACACAGCAAGAACCCATCTCAATTAAAAGCAAAAGCAAAAACAAAAACATGTGGCATCACAAGGCCAGTCCACATTAACCTAGTGTCAGATAAACACTTGTTATGGTCAAATAAGAATTGCTGGAGAGCTGCTGAACCTAACTGGCTCTCTCATTTTGGAAGACAGTGGGCATCTGGGGATGGGGTGGAGGTGGGGGAGGGAGTATGTGTGTCATGTGTGGAAGAGGCAGGCAGAAGGTGGGCGTGCATTCTCAGGCTCACCTGTGCCCTTCCCAGCAGAGGCTCCACTTCTTTATTATGTTCAATGGCTGTTTCAAAAGACTGAAGGAAATTTGATACAATGGGATCCACCACTTTTTTGTTGGTCTTGTATTTCTCATGAATTATCTTCAGTAATCCGCACTTCTTTACAGTACCTATAAGGGTTAATATAATTACCCACAGTTAAAAAATTACGTTCTCAGATTGGCCAGAGGTTGTAGTGTGGTTAATGAAATCACTGAAACTACTATAGCAATAAAAGATGAGAACTCCACTTCCTAACAGGACATCAGTTGTTAGGCTCTTAGGCCTAATTTACAGGGAGAGAAGCTGACTCCAGAACATTATGTAAAACTATTAAACTAAACAGAAGACACTGTGTGAAAAGGGCTACGGCCCAGCCTTCTGTGCATTCCACCCACCATTAAAAGCACCACAGTGATGGCAGATGTTCTTCTTTCGGCACTTGTCAGAGATTTTCTTCTTCAGTCCTCGCTTCTGAAGGTAGGTCAGGCCGGGCCTCTTCAGATAGTCCAGAAACTGCTTCTTCTCCTCTTGGGACAGCATGATATGGCAGCAGGTTTTACAGATCATCTTTTTCAAATTAAGCAAGACAGATAAAAGCATAAGGGAGAATGAAAAATTCTTGTCTTTTAAAAATGCTGTCACCCTGTCTTGTGCCCTTAACTGAGTGACCATATACACAGATCTGCAAATGGCTCCGTACTATGGATTCGCATAGAGAGAAAGCCTGTGTTCACCAGATTAGCAGTACTCACGGCCAGTAGCCAGACTTTGTTCACTTTGTTTTTTTCCTTTGTGCTATTCTGCATTGTTTGAACTACTACTGTTATTTAACAACATGTATCTACCATCTTCTCAGCGTAAATAAAATGAATGATCCTTGAGTGATTTAATGTAGTGTGAGAGGAAAATATTATGTATTTGGCATAAAAACGTCCCCTAGATGTATCCCCCACCACTCACAATTCCTAAGTTCATTCCAGTGTCCCTGACCAATCACTCCAGAATTTATGTCTTGGAAATTGGCACCTGTGTGCTTACCTGTAAGATGCCTATGACTGCTCTGAAGTACCCTACATGAAAACACGGCAACTCCAGGTCGATATACCCGTAGTGGCCTAGACAGTCAGCCAAGTTTTTCCCACAGGTTTCACATGGACGATCCTTCTCACTCGTCCCCTTTGGAAAAAAGCACACCCAATGATCAACACAGACCGCTGGATGGGAAAGAGGGCCCAGCCATCATGCCTGGTCAGGTGACAAAGAATCATTTATTTTGCTTTTTAAATTTTCTTTCTGAGATCACTTCCCACTTTTTTTCCTTTTTCTCTTTTAATTTTCATGACTTGGAATCAGAACCAGGTATTCCTACCTTGCTGACTAAAGGCCAGAGTTCTTGACTTGGTCTGATACATGCAGGGGAGTTGGGGAGATGGAAGGAAGCCCTTGCTCCTTTCAGTCTGGTAAGTCACCAGTTTTATCAACAGGTACTGAGAAGGGTCGGGGGCCTTACCATCCTATGGTCGAGCACCCCATATAGCAAGGGGGCGTGTTGGTTGTCCTGGCTGTACAGGTTCTTACTCACAACTTGGATGTGCGCCTGTTGGCGCATCTCTTCGGGTGACTTCATTCCAAAACAGATGTGGCTTCTGGAATGGGAAGAAAAAAGGTAAAAATTACAGCAAAACCTCTGACCAAAAATATCCATTACATACACAGCCCACCATAACCAATATATCCTTCCAACTATCTCCACTTGCTTTTCCTACCAGTATTAAGTATATTTAACCCTTTCTCATTTTTCCTTCACAAACATTCCTTCATCTTGCTGGAAGCCAGTTTCTATTCTCACCATCAAAGCAACAGTGCTCAAAAGGCCACCTAGACAAACTGCCTGCTGCTGAATCCAATCAGAACTTCCTCATTTTACCTCTGCAGCACTGGCAGCACCCTGCCCAATCCTGAAGTGCTTTTCTCTCAGCTTTGGTGACACCACATACTCTTTGAGTTTTCTTCTTCCATTCTCTGGCTGCTCCTTGCACAATCGCTTTTGAGGTCTTTTCTTCCACTGCTATCCCTTAAATACCGGTGTACTGCACCACCTAGCATTACAATCTCCCTCCTCTTATCTTCTCATTCTACACATTCTCCTGAGTGACCATGCCACTCACATACATGTTGATGTCTATCAAATCTATCTCTACAGGCCAGCTACTGCTACCCAACTGGACATCTGTATAGATACCTCCTCCTGGACAGTTCCACTTGGGTATCTCACGGGCACTTCAAACCCCACACATTGAACACAGACCCCAATACTTTTTTTCCCATATCTGTCCCTTCATTCATTCTTCCAACAAATTGGGTGTTTCCTATGTGCCAGGCACCATCCTAGAGGCTGAGGAGACAGAGTAGCTAAGACAGAAAAGGTCCATGCCAACACAGAACTCACTCGGGGTGGGAAAGACAGGCCACAAACAAACAGATATGCAAATGTGAACAGAGGCAGACGTGATATAAGCAGTAGAGTCTGAAGAACTACTTTACGTGTCATGGTCAGAAAGCTTCTCTGTAAAACTGACAATTAATCAGAAGGAAGAGCATCTGAAGTAGAGAGAATGACTAGGGCCGGGATCCTGGGACTGGCACAAGCTTGGCATTTTTAAGAAACCAAAGAAATCAGTATATACTGCATCATAGAAAGCTAATAATACAAGATGAAGTCAGCGAAGCATGCAGGGGCTAAAGCATGAGGGCTTGGGAACTTTGGTAGAAATTAATTTAAATAATGTAAATGGTAGTGCAACGGAAAGCTGCTAGAGGATTTTTTTTTTTTTTTTTTCTGAGACAGAGTCTCACTCTGTTGCTCAGGCTGGAGTGCAGTGGTATGATCTCAGCTCTCTGCAACCTCTGCCTCCTGGGTTCAAACAATTCTCCTGCTTCAGCCTCCCATGTACCTGGGATTACAGGCATGAGCCACCATGCCTGGCTAATTTTTGGATTTTTAGTACAGATGGGGTTTTACCATGTTGGCCAGGCTGGTCTCAAACTCCTGACCTCGTTATCTGTCGGCCTCGGCCTCCAAAAGTGCTGGGATTACAGACATGAGTCACTGCTCCTGGCCACTGCTAGAGGATTTTAAGCTAAATTGACATAGCCCTAATTTGCACTTTAACAGAAACACTTGAGTTGTTTTGTGAGAATGTATTATATCTGACTGGGAGCAGGTGTACAGGTATGTGTGAAGGGCCAGTGTGGGTGTAGAGCTGCCATATGGGAGGATGCTGCATCCACCTAGGTAGGACACCTGTTCCAGCGAATGGCAACCATCCACACAGCTGCCCAAGCAAGGCGTTCTGTACACCCATCTCATATCTCCTTGCCTTCATCCCTAACAATCCTTTCAATTTTACGCCTTAAGCCTCTCTGAAATCCACCTCTCCCAATGACTCTACCACTCTAGTGCAAGCCGCCAGATCCCCTGTCTGGATCCATGCAATGGCCTCCAAGGTCTCCCTATCTCTCATTCTTTCCACCATGAATCAAGAGATTTTCCAGGAGAACTCTTATCAAGATACTCTCCTGCTCAAAATCTTTCAAAGGTTCCTCACTGCCTGCAAGATACTTAACACAGCTTCGAGTCTTCTGCTTCCTTCTCATTGACCATGCTCTTTGGCTCTCTTATGCTGCTTGAGTTTGGGCTGCTTTCTTTGGCCTGGATCCATTATGTACTCTAGAAACCCCGTTGTTACTGCACTTGTCATACCCAGTGTTGACTTGTGTACCTTCTCCAACTATATTAGGCAGCAAAAGTTTTATTCACATCCTATCTTTAACGTCCAACACTGGGTGGGTGTAACACGAAGTACCCTCTTCAGTGTCTGCTGTAAGAATGATGATTCCCTCTCCCCTAGCCTTTTTTTTTTTTTTTCCTCTTTTTTTTGAGACAGCGTCTGACTCTGTCAACCAGGCTGGAGTGCAAGAGGTTGGCTCACTGCAACCTCTGCCTCCCAGGCTCAAACGTTTTTTCCAGCCTCCGTCTCCCCAGTAGCTGGGACCACAAGCGCGCGCCACCACGCCCGGCTAATTTTTGTATTTTTGTTAGAGACGGGATTTCGCCATGTTGCCCAGGCTGCTCTCGGAACTCCTGAGCTCAGGAGATTCACCCGCTTCTGCCTCCCAAAGTGTTGGGATTACAGGCCTGAGCCACCCCGCGCCCGGTTGGATTCAATTTCCTAAAGAGAACTATAAGAAGGAGCAACCGACTCATAAGGCCTTTCTGAAGGCAAAAGCCCGAATATAGCAGCTTCATTTCTGACACTGCCATCCGTCGGCCTGCGATACAGCTTTCTAGCTGGCAACCCCATCATTTAGGTGAGCAACTGCCGCCTCCCTGTCAGACGCTCTGCAGCTGACCGAATTAGAGACAGTCCCTGCCCCAGATTGCTCCCCTCGCTGCAGCAGGGGATAGGTTCGCTGAAGAACAGGGGTCATCATGACTTCAGGAGAACGCGAGCTTTGGCCCAGGGTGCACGAATCATTAAAGCTCAGCCCATTCTGCCTTCTCCGCCCAAGTCCAGGGACCTCTCGAGGTGCTGAATCCCCTCGGCATGACCAATGCTCTTTGACCTACGCTGGTACTTCTGGGCGTTGCTCACACCTGTGGGACAACTGGCCCTCCCCTTCCCATTGGACCCCATCTCTGACCCTCGGAGACCCGGGACCGCTGACCTCGAACCCCTGCCCCATTTCTCCGCCCTTTGGCCACTTTTTCTCCTCCTTACATTTTCTTGGCCACATCCGTCTCCCGGAACTGCTCCTTCACCATGATGACAGCTGCCAGGACGCCTCCTTGGCACTCGGGAGGCTAGATTAGAGAAACGATGCTCTCCGCACCTCCTGGGGCTGCTTCTTGACTGGCCTCTAACACAGCTGCAGCATCCTCTCGGCCACCGTAGAGTGCCCCACGTGTCCGCTTCTCTTCCGCTACTCGCCGGCGCGTCTGTCTGTCAAGAGAGACTTCCGGCATGCCGCTTTTTTTTTTTTTTTTTTTTTTTGCCCTTTCCCTGCACCGTCACCTGGTGGCGCTTCCGGGAAACAGCACCGAGGCCTGCGCTGTATTTTAAAAATCCCATTTCTGGTCAATTTCTCCAGGTAATCAGACACCTACGGAGAAACAGCATGTAACTCTTTGTCTCAAGACTTTTAGACAGGCAGAGGGCCAAAACGTGCATAAAATGGAAAATCATCATCATTAACATCAGTACCATTTAAATCAAGAGACTAATTGTTTAAGGGAAGGTGGAGGCTAAAATGAACTGTCTGGAGGACCAACAAAGGAAAAATAAACAGAGCAGAAACTATGGGCGCACATGTGCCTCCAGTACATGAAGTTATTTTGGGGGAGGGGAGAAAGAATTAAACTTATATTCTTGATTACAAAAACAGCTGAAAATCTGTTGGAGTGAAAATAGCCATGGTGATCTACAGAAGGAAAGGGAGAATGGAAAGTAAAGATCATTCATATCTTGAAGTAGTCTACAGTCTGTGACAGCTTGTGGGAGGTCATCCTAGTGTGATATCTTGGTGCACTGGACCAGCAAGGAAATCACATTACCCCAGGGCTCAGTGCTATAAAACCTAGAACTTATTCTTCATTATTTGTGAAAAACTCAGAACTTAACAATATGTTTAACAACTTTCAATTTAAGAAGGGATGCTATCTCATTTTCGGATCCTCACTAGCAAAACACAATGTCACAGACAAAAAACAAGGCATATCAGGTTTTACTAATCTATTTCAGTAGTCCATCACTTAATGTGTCTTTGGAATAATGTTGACAATATTATACCAACAAGGTTTGGACCGTGGGTGACGTATCATCTAGAGGGTAAGAGCTGAAGTTCTGAAATCACAGTGCCATCATGGGAGTCTACCTTCCACCATTTAAAGTTGTGTAGGCTGGGCATGTGACTCACGTCTGTAATCCCAGCACTTTGGGAGGCAAGGTGGGTAGATTACGAGGTCAGGAGTTTGAGAACAGTCAGACCAATATGGTGAAATCCCCATCTCTACTAAAAAATACAAAAATTAGCTGGGCATGTTGGCACACGCCTATAATCCCAGCTACTTGGGAGGCTGAAGCAGGAGAATCACTTGAACCTGGGAGGCGGAGGTTGCAGTGAGCTGAGATCATGCCACTGCACTCTAGCCTGGGTGACAGAGTAAGACTCCGCCTCTAAATAAATAAATAAATAAAGTGTGACCTTGGGAAAGTTATTTAATCTTATTGTGTGTTAGTTTCCCCATTTATAACATGGGTGGGTAATAGGTACCCTATTTTTTAGAGTCTGTGGGAAGGTTAAACAACAAAATGAAGGTAAAACTAATTAGAATGTAACAGGAGAACTCGAGCTTTGGCCTAGGGTGCACTTATAGTTAATAAGGATAGTATTAACTATCCTTATTTATTATTATTATTTTTTTGAGATGGAGTCTCTCTCTGTTGCCCAGGCCGGAATGCAATGGTGTCATCTTGGCTCACTACAACTTCTGCCTTCGGGATTCAAGTGATTCTCCTGCCTCAGCCTCCCAAGTAATTGGGATTATAGGCACGTGCCACCACACCTGGCTAATTTTTTGTATTTTTAGTAGAGACAGGGTTTTACCATGTTGGTCAGGCTGGTCTTGAACTCCTCATGACCTCAGGTGATCTGCCTGCCTAGGTCTCCCAAAGTGCTGGGATTACAGGCATGAGCTACTGCCAACTCATGCCTGTAGTGGTCAACTATCCCTATTCTTAAGAAAATAGTTGATGGGGCATGGGGCAGGCTCACACCTGTAATCCCAGCACTTTGGGAGGCTGAGGCCGGCCGATCACTTGAGGTAAGGAGTTGGAGACCAGCATGGCCAACATGGAGAAAACTCGTCTCCACTAAAAATACAAAAAGCCGGAAGTGGTGGTGCATGCCTGTAATTCTAGTTACTCGGAGGGTTGAGGCAGGAGAATCCCTTGAATCCAGGAGGTGGCAGTGAGCCATCATCAAGCCATTGCATTCTAGCCTGGGTGATGAAAGCTAGACTCCATCTCAAAAAAAGAAGAAAAAAGAAAAGAAAAAGAAGAAAAAGAAAATAGGAAAGCTGCCTGAAAAGCTTGCACCTTGGACTCCTTGTCTGCACTAAGATTTGGGAAATTCTTCTTATTGTTTCTCCAGCACATGTATATTTACATTCTTTACATGTCTGTTTCACGTTAAGGAAAATATTTCTGGATCAACCAAATATATATTTTTTCCTTCTTTTCTTTTCGTTTCTTTCTTTTTCTTTTTCTTGAGACGGAGTTTCACTCTTATTGCCCAGGCTGGTGTGCAATGTCGAGATCTCGGTTTACCGCAATCTCTGCCTCCTGGGTTCAAGCGATTCTCCTGCCTCAGCCTCCGGAATAGCTGGGATTACAGGCATGCGCCATGGTGCCCGGCTTTTTTTTTTTTTTTTAAGTTGGTGGGGGGGGTTTCGCCATGTTGGCCAGGCTGGTATCGAACTCCTGACCTCAGCTGGCCCGCCCGCCTCGGCCTCCCAAAGTGCTGGGATTACAGGTGTTGCCATGGAGCCCAGCCAAATATTTTTTAAAAGCTAATTTTGCATAAGGACCAAGATTTGCAGAAAAATACAAATTAAAGAGATCTTTTATTTTCAAGTAGAGACTCATGAAAGTCTCAAAAATTAATAATTATGAATAATAAATTAGAATGGGCAATGTTGCCTACTTGAAAAACAAAGGTTTTAAAGTCAGGGGTTCCTGAAGTTCCTCTAGCTGTACAGTATAACGAGGAGGCTGCTCCAGAGGATATTCTAAAATGCTTTCCAGGTTTACCCACCTCTAACTCCGAAGAAGGCAATTTAAACTAATTTGGTTTACCGCAATTCAAGCACGTGCAATTCAACCTAATTAATTGAACTGAAATTGAACATGTGCTTGCGTATGCGGCTCGAGCTATTCTGGCTCCGGATTGGCCAGTTCAGAGTCCAAAATGTGTGGCCAAAGGTCTGTGAGGTGAGGCCGTAGGCAGCTTCAATCAGGCATCGGCGCGGATAGCCTCACGGCCTGGCCACGCCCCCCACGCCGGCGCTTCCCGGGGTCCTTCCGTGCGCGTTGATATGATTGGCCGGCGAACTGTGGCTCTCTTTTCCTCCCCGGCTGTGTAAAGATAGGCCGCCATCATGGTGAGTCTCTTTGGGCCCGGGAAGTTATCTGCCGCGTATCCGAGCCATCCTTGGTCCCCGGGTCTCAATATCTGAGCTATAGGCACGCGAAGCCCGGTTGCTCTTCTCTGGGCGTTTCTATCGGAGGATGGTTGTCGAGGGCCTCGGGGCTGTCGTCAGGGAGTCGGGGCTGGCGGGCTGCGCTGCAGAACCGAACACGCCGGGCTTCGGGCTCCAGTGCCTAGGCGTTGCAGGAGCGGCTGCTTTTGTCGACTTCGTGGAGCACAGTGGATGGCGGGAGGAGGATAGACAGACCCTGGGAGGCACATCTCTTCTGCAGTTCCAAATTGGGCTAGGTAGACGGCTTGCAAGTGATGTCAGGTCAAGAGGTGAAGAAGGTGCCGGCAGCGCCTGGGCGAGTTGCGGCAAGTGAAACCATTCCCACGTGTGAGCTAGAAAACTTGTCAGCTGAATAGATCTTCTTGTTTCTTACTGGGGAAACGGAGGCCTTGGAAAGGGACGTTATCAAAAGGTAGTCCTGCTCTTAAGTCATATGTTAGCTCCTCCAGCATCCGGTTGAAACTTTACCTGCAAGCTGCTTTTTTTTTCTTCTTTACCTTTGATCTTTTACTTTAAGGAATTGAGTACCACTGACGTGGGTTTAATTTGGTGTGGCTTCTCAAAGTAAAATGGAGACAGTCTAGCAAGTCATTTGCTACCATGAAAGTCTCTTGCCCCTCCTTTTTGGTAAAATTGTTAGCGTAAATTGCTTAATGCCCACATTCCTTGGTAGATATTAAGTAAAGGTGCAGTTCAGTCCTTCAGAAGGAAATACCGTTTTCTGGTCTCTGCCATGGCCGTTCTAGGATAGATTACATGCAGGTAGTAAGTGCAAGGTTTGGGTCACATTTATGCGGGACATGATAAACACAGTTTTTTGAATGTGACATTTATGTGAGCCACAGCAGTTTTTACTCCAGGGACGTGATCTCAACCTGGAGTGAGTTTTTTCCACTAAGGGAGCAGTTGGCTAAGTCTGGAGACGTTTTTGATTGTCACACTGGGAAGGGTGGGAAGTGCTTCTGGCATCTAGTGGTTAGAGGCCTGGGATTTTTATAGTTTCTAAAACATACAGTCCCCACAACAAGAATTATCCATATGGAAATGTCAGTAGTGGTGAGGTTGAGAAACCCTGCCTCAGAGTGATTAACATAACCTAATAAGGTGAGATGTACAGATTTTATGTAAAACTGCTGTATTTTCTTGGTATTTTATGTATTTGTTAGCCTGTGAGTTTGGCCCTGCTCAATGGGTTTTATGGCTACAAGTTGGACTGCAACATTCTAGGTCTTGGAATATCACAGCAAAGTCAAGAAAGGTTGAGTAGCTTTATTAACTAGAGTGTTTATGCTTTCAGAACGACACAGTAACTATCCGCACTAGAAAGTTCATGACCAACCGACTGCTTCAGAGGAAACAAATGGTAAGGAAGGGCACATTAAATTTTGCTTAATTGTCCTTTATTCTGAAGATATATTTTATTACAGTGAACGCTAAACCTTGGTATCTCCTTTTAGGTCATTGATGTCCTTCACCCCGGGAAGGCAACAGTGCCTAAGACAGAAATTCGGGAAAAACTAGCCAAAATGTACAAGACCACACCGGATGTCATCTTTGTATTTGGATTTAGAACTCATTTTGGTGGTGGCAAGACAACTGGCTTTGGCATGATTTATGATTCCCTGGATTATGCAAAGAAAAATGAACCCA